AGATGGAGGAGTTCGATGCGCAGACCAACGAGGTCAGGGACGAGGTCAGCAAAGTCGTCATCCTGAATGACGAGACATGGGAAGGACTGAGGTGCCGGATATGTCCGTCATGTGCGACCGCAATCCCCACATGCTTCTGCTTATGCCTGGAATGTGGAGCGCAACTGATCTCCACTGGGAGGTTCTACATCCACATCAATTCCGACGACGATGAGGACAATCAAAAGCCCAATGTCTCGGGTGATGCCAGGCGCGCACAAGAAGAAGCCAACCATGATGCGGCAGCACAGGAGGATGATGACGAGGCGGAGGAAGTTCCTGAAGAAGACGACATGGACACGCAAGGGTATACATCCGGCTACGTGTCTGAGGAGGAAGATGGCGGTTGGCAGTACCGCGACACTGATTTGACATCACGGGATATCATAAATTCCCAGCGGATGGCGATTTGCCTTGATGAGCCGCGCGAGGCTCAATACATGGCGGGATTCATCGCACTGCAGATGTCAAGATGTGGGGGATGTTCGAGGGTGGTGAGGAGAGAACGTTGAATGCCGGACTCGACACAACGACTTCAAGAGGTACCCCAACATGACTGAGCACGATCAGGAAGGGATCCTTTTACCATCAACGGTACTGAAGATTTCTCAATCCGAGAATGTTCGGACAAGGGTCTTCCGGTCGGCTGAGGAGCGTGAAGATTACATTCGTATGATGGCGTGCAAGTGCGAGGGATTATACACATTCTACAAGCTGTGGATTGCAGCGAGAATCCTCGACGTCACCAAGGACGAAATGAAGCTCCTGGTCAAGGACCGCGTGCACCCGGTGGGTGATATTATTTTCAGATGCTTTTCACTGGCTTTCAACTGTAAGTATATATCATTCGTGAGGGATGGCCTGAACCTTGGCAAATATGGTTATTCGGTCAATGTGAGCGCCATTATTGCGGCCATCGACCCGAATAAATGCGATACACCTCTGCTGGATTGGTGCCTCCGAAAAGGGCATTGGATACCAGAGGATCATAACAAGAAGTGTATCCGGGCACGAGAAGCCCAAAAGAATTTGGACGAGGAGTTCCGTCGACGCACTCACCGACTGTCCATTGGGGACAGGTGTGCGTGATGCAGATGTTGATTGCGGCACGATGTGGGTTAGTCCCCATCCGTTGCTTGCGTCTCATCAACATCATTGCGATGGAACGACTTTACATCATGATATGATTTCATGCGTCCAAGATGAATGGATGTGTACATGGTTACATATTCCGACGACTATGACATTCTGGATATTCATGGATGGAACCATTACCTCATGGATGATTTCTTTTCAATATATGTATTGTTCATGGTATCTGGAATGGCTATGATTTGCATTGATTGCTCACCGATATTTCTTTGCCGGTGATATGCAGATTGCTTACGAGCAGGCGCTTCTGTTGAACTCTATGGCCAACCCATTTCCTATGGATGACGGCTGCGCGATGCGCAAATGCGGCAGCTGGGATGTTCAATGGTGGTCAAATGACGTGACAATAGTGTATTGTATACACCTGCATATGGGGGCGTGCTGATCTGCGGACGCATGTTTCTTTTTATCGATCGGACCCGGCATGTTTCACAATGAATGAACGGTGTAGCGATAGCAAGTAAAAGAATGCACGACACGATTTCGTAGCTGAAGCCGTGGCCAGTGGAACGTTTTGTGTGTTTGGACCGCATGATGAACAATGCGACCCAAATGGGGGATGTTAAAACCCTCTAGGCCCCGTGCCTAAATTGGGAAGCTGTTCTGAGGTCTGTGTTAGTGTTGCTTACCAAGTTCCATTGATCGCCATTTGGCTCAAGACACAATTGAGGTTCAAGATCTGATGTGCAGCTGCATTCACACGTGATCGGCATTGAGAGCGGAAAACACTTCGCTTGCGCTGCATTTGTCAGGACCACTGTTGTAACTATTATTCCTTCTCCCTTACAACGTTTACACGGGTTCGGCTATAACGGCTTTGACCGTATACACCTTTCTACGTGGTTGGTGTTACAGCTGGAGGGTTCGGTGAACAGCGTCCCACGGGACGTCACCTTGCCGTCTCTTGACACAATGCGTGCCCTTGCAAGGCGTGGCATGCGTGCCCGCGCCCAAGGTCCGGAGACTGAATGGTCCGGAGACCAGAGTTGGTCCGGAGACCTGGTCCGGAGACCAAGAGGTCCGGAGACCACCAACGAAAGTGCAGCGTCTGCTATACTTGCAGAGCCTTGTATAAGGCAGTGCAGGGTGGGTGGGTGGGTTTCAAATGAAACCGCAGGTTTGGGTCAAGGCTAGGAGCAAAACGGCCACCGCGTAGTTCGATTCACAACATGCCCTAAACACAAGGGAAAAGAAACCCTAAGCGTTAAGGCATGTTGCACTGCTCCTAGCTTGAACCCAAACATGAACACCCAAAAGAACAAAGCAAGTCCGAAGCGGCCGCAGTTCTTTTTACCGGGATTGCTGAAAGTAGCACTGCTTCCAGGGCACTGGTGCGCCTGGAACAGGAGGTGCGTTGACCCCCCCTTCAGTGTTTCAGGCAACCCCGGTATAAGCGAGCCAGCTGGGCCGCCGGCCTCATCACCCGCCCTTCAGAGTGGGGTTGTACTTGGCAGGGCAAATGTCCGCGTGACAATGCACGCTTGCGGCTGTGAGCAGCCTGTTGCTCAGGGTCTGCACTTTTTTCGGTCAGAGCGGCTTGATGTAAGCGGCTGGCTGACGCAGCCAGTTGTTCTGGCTGACAGGGCGAAGACGGCCATTTGGTAGCAATGCATGTTGGGATGCAAATCAGGCTGGCCAAGCAGTGCTGGAGGCAGCTGCCAGGTGTTCCGGGCGCCAGGGCGCATCCATCGGACACAGCTGAATGCCTCGGCCTGACATTGCTAGGCCCGCAGGGCTGAAGCGTATGCGACTTTCAGGGCGATGGCTGAATCGGGCCAACCGACCTCTGCTGAGATCGTCTGCCCAATCATTGCACCTTCCTGGAACGTGCGTCGGCTGCAGTACCTTGGCTGTAGTCGTGGTAGTTGGAGCAGTAGGTGTTAGTCGCAGCAAGTCTACCAGTTTAAGGGTTGACGGTAATGGTCGTGCTGGTCGCCGGCCCGGATTGGCATTACGTGTGCAAGGAAAGAAGAAGGACTAAAAGTAGAGACGAGAAGGAGAAATACATGGTTTGGGAACTGGGCGACTGGAGTCGGCGCAGCGTGACGTGGAGTCGGCGCAGAATTGGAGCGGAGCCGGCGGCGGAGTCGAGGCGGTTGCAGGATAGGCTGTTGTTGTGGTGACAGCCAAGAAAGCTGCAAAACGGAGTCGGCCGTGTTGGGTTCTGATGCTTGATCCTTTGCAGGCTGCGTCTCGCACACGCAACGGTCTGGCGTGTTGCCTTCTCTGCACTGTGTGCAGTGCTTGCCTGTGACGGGGCCAGTTGGCTGTGCCGAGTGTCTTTGGTGACGTTGTTGCTCATCTTGTCTCGTCTGAACTTTTGAACTGCGCGATGTAGTTTTGGGGCATGACATTTGAGTGTTGAGTGAAAATTGAAATCAATTGCGAGGCTCAAATTTTGTGTCGTGTGAGGCACCTGAAGCGCGCTCTTACTATGCCTGCATTCTGTTGCCCAAGACGGTGAGCGCAGGGCGTGCGTGGTGCGCCCTCTGTTTCGATGCAAGCGCCGGCGCATGTAGTAAGAACTCGTCGCCTTTTAAGGAGCGCCCGAGCTGGATGGGTGAACTGACTTTGCATATTTTTCTTTCACGTGAGGAGCGTAAGAAGCGTTGCGCGTTGCAGATTTGCGACCCGTCAGAAGAACGAGGCAAGGAATCTTTGGAAACGATCGGGCGTGAACCGCCCTTTCATTTTTT